GTTAACTGCGTCTTACAAGCTGTTATTAAAAGAAAAAATATCTTCTGTTTCAGTCTCTTTCAATATAAAAGTCTTTACTGTTGACTCGTAAAACAGTCTCTTGTCGCCATCTAATGGCGGAACAATGTCACAAAAATCACCATCATGAACACACACACATACACACAGAGTTTCCCAATACTAAATACTACTATGTATATAAAATATTATTTATTGAATAATAAACAACAACAACAGCCATCATAAAAGTTGCTAGACAATTCAGTCAAAAGTACAAAGGCAGCGCTCTAATATACAGCATTAAAGTTACATAAAATATAATGTGATGAAATTTTGCCTTCAGCCTAAACTATTTGCTCTGGAACAAATAATTGATTAATGAGACCAAAGACTGCCCGTTAGAATTACCCAAAACGAATTATATCTCATGTTTATCCACTATAGAGACATCAGAGCAAAGCGGCAAATTCCAGAAGATCTGGCCGAGGTGAGGCTTCATGAGAGCTGAACGGATGCTGACGCCCTGGAGCTCACGTCTCCTAAAACGTCGAAGCAAATTTTTTAATAGACGTTATCTTTAATAATAAACAGCATATTTGAAGTCTAAACAATTACATTCTCGCCTAAAAAACTTAAAACTACATTCTCTGACACAAAAACAGTATTATTTATAAATTGTAGAGGATTTGGACGTCCGCCATGACACTCGCTGTGAGAAATACAAATATATCACTCCGCGTCTGTATTTCTCACAGCGAGTGTCATGGCGACGCCCAAATCCACTACAATTTAATTCCTGTAAATTGTTCCTGTAGCGATACCAGTACAGTAGCTTTCAATATCTCTCAACCAATCAGATTTGAGAACCAGAACGAACTGTTGTATAAAAGTAAATAAAAGTTTATTTTATAAACTATTAAGTTTATATTAATATTATTCATATATATTGTTTCATTTTAATTTACAGAAATATATTTTAATATAATATATAATAATATATCAATATATATTCACAATATTACTATTTTACTGTATTTTTAAACAAATAAATGCAGCCTTGGTGAGCATAAGAGATATAAAAATCTATATATATGAGCAATATCACACGAGTAGCAGTGCGATATGGCTATATATCAGCACGGCTGTGATTTGGCCGTAGGTAATTTCTCAATACCAAATGCAGCACATTAGTTATATAAAATATTATTTATTGAACAATAACATATAAATGAACAACAATAGCCATTATAAAAGCAAACAATTCAGTCAAAAGCAGAAAAGCAGCGCTCTAGTTAGTACAGGATTTAATTACATAAAAAATAAAAATATATGAATCTTAACTTTGCCCTAAAGTCAAATCGATTTGCTCTGGAACAAGTAATAATTTAATAAGACCAAAGATTGGCCGTTTAATATAACCAAAATGAATTATATCTCGTGTAACACCATCTACATCAGAGCCAGCGACAAATTCCCGAAGGCCCAGCCGAGATAAGGCTGTTCTCGGCAGGGTTCATAAGTGCTGAATGCACGCTGTCGGCCTGGAGCTCACATTTCCGATGTCTAAACAAATTGTCAAATAGGCACTATCTTTATATATAAATCACATATTTGAGGTCTAAACAACTACATTCTCGCTTACATTCTCGCTTAAAAATCTCATACAAAATCTTCCACATTCTGTGACACGATAACAGTAATATTGTAAAATTATTGTGGGTTCGCACTTCCACCATTGACGCTCACTGAGACAAATGCTGCCAGTATAGATCTGACAACAAGTGGAGTGATACAAACGGTGAAACGGTTAGAGTGCTGATACCACTGGAATATTGCACCTCTGGAATAGGCTCTAAGCCAATCAGATTCGAGAACCAGAACGAACTGTTGCATACAAATATATATTCATTGTATTTTATGCTGGTCACGACAAATTCATTAAGATACTTTAATCAATAATAAAAATGTTCCTAAACATTTGCACACCCCAACTCTTAAAGGGGTCATATGATGCGATTTCAATTTTTCCTTTCTCTTTGGAGTGTTACAAGCTCTTGGTGCATAAAGAAGATCTGTAAAGTTGCAAAGACTAAAGTCTCAAATCCAAAGAGATATTCTTTATAAA